AAATAATGTTGTAGATCTATATCAATTTGTAAATAGCAGAGAGAATTATCATAGGTTTAACTATTTTTGTAGATATATTTATTCCATTATTATAACCTCTGTGAAATCTTTAGGACAAAATAATAAAGCCTCAGAGGTTGCGTTTCTTTTTTAAAACGTTTAATAATGCTCAAGCTTTCGGGTATGGTGGCCCTTCTACAGGAGGTTGCTCCTGTAGAAAGGCCACCATAACCGAAAGCTTGAGCATTATTAAACGTTTTAAAAAAGAAACGCAACCTCGGAGGCTTTATTATTTTGTCCTAAAGATATATTTATGATTATCTTTCTAACCCGAAAGGTTCAGGTTCCTAATATATATTATTGTTTCTCTTTTTATTTTTGGTTACTTTCTTGTATAATATGTTTATAACTGTTTCTGTTTAAAAAAAATGTAAATCGTTGCAATTATCCCTAGCCGGGATATCGCGTTTTGTGTGTTGAAATAAAATAAAATCACCAGCTGTATGAAAAAGTGAAAGTTGTATAAGCTTATGATTTATGCTTTTTTTTTTAAATGAATCGCTGTTGGTTTCATATGCTTGAATTGAATATTACACCTTAGTTCTATATATTTTATTTCTTAAAAAGGAACAAAACGAAATAAAAAAGAAACTACAATTGCAAATGATTTGTAAACTAACTAAGAAAAAAAAAACTACAGTGGTACCTCGACATACGAGCGCCCCAACATACGAGTTTTTCGAGATACGAGCCGACGAGCAAATGATTTTTTGCTTTTAGTTACGAGCGAAATTCGAGATACGAGTTCGGTTCGGTAATAACACGCAGTCGCGCCATCACGATCAGTTAGCAGCGTGCTTCCGCTGTGATAAGTTGTGTTTTGTGTTGCGTTTACATTTACAGTTTTAGTTCATTTATTTTTATAACCATGGATAGGAAGAAAGTTTGTAAAAAGTCAAGTGCTAAGAAAAAGATGATGAGTATTGAATTAAAACGTGAAATTATAGAAAAACATGAGAAAGGTGTTCGAGTTGTTGACTTGTCGAGGCAGTATGGCCGTAGTACGTCCATGATATGTTCTGTGCTTAAACGGAACGAGTCGATAAAGAGTGTAACGCCGGCTAAGGGCCTTACGATGGTTACATTGGTTTTGAGGAGTCTGAGGAGGAGATTATTTCTACAAGTGAGATAAAGGAGATCTTAGGAATGTGGGAGAGAGTTTCACAGTTCGTGGAAAAAAAAACACCCAGAAAAAGTTGCAACAGGTCGTGCATCTGACCTTTTTAATGACACTTGCCTAACTCATTTCCGGAACATTCTGAGAGGGAGGAAGAAACAAACCTCCTTGGACATGTTTTTTTCTAAACGGCCTACAGGTGAAAGCGAGAAAAATGTAGCGAAAAAGGCGAAGACCAGTGAGGATATCTAATTTATTTCTTTACATTCTCTTTTTTGTTTTGTGCAATAAATATTTGATATTTATAAATACGTTTTTATTATTTAAAACCACGTAACAAAAATAACTGGGGTGACATTTTGGAGGTTGGAACGGATTAATGGTAGTTCAATTGTTTTGTATGGGGAAATTTGCTTCGAGATACGAGTAATTCAAGATACGAGCAAGGTTGCGGAACGAATTAAACTCGTATGTCGAGGTACCACTGTATATCCAAAATGATGATGATAAAAATTAAATATGTCTGCCAGAAAAATGCTTCTATGAATTAAAAAAAAAAATAATAATTAAAAAATTAGCATATAAAAGTCAAACACCAGTGAAAAGCTATTGCTATGAAAAACTAGTTATCTACAATAATGAGGCACAATTTGGATTATAGATTATAAACATAAGGTAATAAGACCAAATCCAACGCTGTTACCAAAACGTCACACACTATTTATTTATTACCTTGTGTCTAGTTATCTGCACTTATATTTCATAACTTGGATATTTATTAAAATTGAATTAATAGTTGGTAGCTCCATTTACACTCATGTACAAAACTTAAGGAAGTTGTACCTTTTAGCACGTATATCGAGATTCAGACAATAACTCTGAAAGATATTACAGTGACCTTTATTGAAGACACACGATATAACCAAGTGTGAACAGCCTCTGTCTCCTTCAAAAAAAAAAAAAAAAAAAGACGACCGGCGATATCAAAAACTTTTACTTCCTTAAGTTTTGTCCATGAGTGTATTTGTTTATGACTCATGATTTAGATGCTGTACTAAATTTGAAAAAAATCGTGTGAGAACGTCCTTGCAGCCTCAAAATAATTTATAACGCCTCTTACTAAAGGCTTCAATTTTTATTTTCTTCCTGACGAGGACAAAATATTTTTGTCGAAACGTCATTTACTTACTTAAAAAGTTGGAAGACAAATATAGAAGATGTTATAGAATAGTTTGTAGGAAGTCGTCTGTCTGGGAGTTGAGCAACCCCAGTACTGGCTACCTTCCCACAGACTTGGCCACTACACTCGATTTGCATAGCTCGGAGCAATCTCAGTCTGGTCGTCTGTTGTTTCTTCTACCTAAGCCTATCTACAGTAGAACAACAACAAATACTGTATTAGGGACACTCATCCCATACAGGATTCTCCCAGATAGGTGAACAGAAGCAATATGTAATGTATCTCTAGATAGAGGAGAGCGTGGTGTCCTTGGAGACTCCACCAATCTCCGCAGCTCTGGCAGAGGCTCCATATTCATTTTACATAGTATCATGCATATATATATCGTATATTTTAAACTGAATAATAATGACACTTTCTATTTGCTACCACCCCCATATTTTGTATATATGCTATATCTTTATTAATATAACCTGTACACCCTTTTTGTATATAAACTAAAATTGGTGACGTCAAAATAAAGATCCAAAGAGAGAGCGGTCAGCTGGTGGCAGCAGGGACAGAGGGGTGGAAAAAGGCAACGCCCAACCCATGTGGGGTCCCGAGGGACATTCTTATAGAGACCCCCCCGTAAGCAGGACAAGTTTTGGCAGGGGGTCAGCAGATGTTCGAGAGGGTGTCTCTCGACAGACGGCTTCTGTCTAACACACAGTCTCTCCCTCCATGTCTCGGGAATAAACACCCTAGTTGGTGTCATGGCCTCTACCTCTGTCCCGTGGGCTATCCCCGATCACTCTCTGTGCTAACAGCTAGCCCTGCCTCTGCTTCTTGTTGTCCGCGTGCGGGAAGACCATCAACACTCGCCTCACGTACACGACTGCCAGCTTATCCATACATCGACATTTGCAACACTATTACATATATATATATATATAATTATTAAAAATAAAAGAGGCATATCCTGACCAGGAGCACATGTGCTTTTTCAGAAGGCAGAGCGCCATCTAGTGGAACAGAAATCAACTAAACATTGATTTAGCCTGTTCCCTGATATTTGGCCAACCCAATCTATATATATAAAATTGAATGTCTGTGTGTGTGTCTGTGTGTGTGTCCTCTATGGATTCGAAAACCATACATCCAATCGCCGTGAAATTTTGGGATATTATTAGGTGTATCTCCGGAAAGGTTTACGAAAAATAATATCTTGAATATCTTTAATATCCTTAGAGTTATTTGCAGATTTGTAGCTTTAACTCGCAAGCAGCGCCACCATTGAGACGGAGATAGGCTTTTTCAAGAGGGGGAGTAATGTTAGGAGAGAGGAGCGCGTCTCGAGGCGGGTGCTCACGTGTCACTGTTAAAAACCTATTTGTTTTGGCTACATCTTTTCCCGTGGACTTAACGATAACTTTTCTAAAACTTATTTCAAATTTCATGAATAATTATTTTTACATCATTTAGTTTAGTATAATTATTTACTATAATTTCCTATCGTTCAATTATTATACTTTTTGTTCTTAACGATTATTTAAGACAATAATCTTTAATTAGAAAGTGCTTTGCCAAAAGTTTGGAGTGGGGCAGACCCCGTGCGAGAATGGATTCGCCCGGCCGCCGGCCGACAGTCAAAGTACCCACCGACCAATCAGGGCAGAGTTGGTGACACAGCTATGCCAAGTAGACAAGAAAAAAAGCCTCGCGGGAGCTTGCCCAAGATGACCTCCGGGAACTTCGTCCATCTTCCATAAACGACCATGAATTTATTCAACCTTATCGAGTATTTTTCAAGGGACCGGGAAAAAATGTTCACTAGATAAAACGATGATTTTGTAATGTAGAAAATTAGGAAAGACAAAATTCAGGATGACACGGCACACAGGGACCGGGAAAAAATAATCACTTTATCGAGAGATTCACGACCATGCCTTTATTCAACTTATCGAGTATTTTTCAAGGGACCGGGAAAATATGTTCACTAGATAAAACGCTGATTTTGTAATGTAGAAAATTATGAAAGACAAAATTCAGGATGACACGGCACACAGGGACCGGGAAAAAATGTTCACTTTTTCGAGAGATTCAAATTTACGAGTTTCAAATTATCAAAATATATCTTTTTTTTTATAAGTTCATAGAGAATTGTTTTACCAAATGTTCGTTAGACAAACCTTTACTCGTGTAAAACCTCGGGCGAAGCCGAGTACGTCCGCTAGTTTATTGATAAATCAAGAAAAGCCAACCACGAACTTTATCAAGAAATTGGGTTGGCCAAATATCAGGGAACAGGCTAAATCAATGTTCTGATTGTTCCGCTCTGCCTTCTGTAAAGCACATGTGCTCCTGGTCAGGATATGCCTCTTTTATTTTTAATATAAACACCTGACCTTTTTATTTTTTATATTGTTCTTTCATATATAATTATTTTTTAAAATAGTACAGATTTTACAGTTTTGCATGTATTGACAAGATGTCAATAAAATTATGTCAATTGTCTAGAAAGAGGAGAATAACATCAATCTTTCCTTATGTTCGGTTCCTCTTCTGTGTTTACGCCTTTTGGCTGTGCTGTTCTCCAGAATATGTGAAAAGACAATATATTGGTCCTACTTATAGGGAATGCATACCTTTTATTTGTGACCTACGGCCATACCACATTGAAAACATCGGTTCTCGTCCGATTACAGAGAAATTAAGCAAAGTCAGGCCTGGTCAGTACTTGGGAGGGTGACCACTTGGATGAAGACCAGGAGCTGTAGGCTATTACCTTTTTTTTTTGGTTAATAGTCCGTAAAACCCTATTTTATCGTATTTCTTGAAGTGACGCGAGCTTTCGAGCATATACCGTTCTTCATCAGGCTGTAGATAAATAACGCTATCTATATATAGATAGATAAATCTCTTACCTCGGGACACGTGGACCTGGTCTGGTTGGGAGTAATGATCAGGTTGGTGGTGACAAAGAAGGCGTTGTTCTCCTACACACACCGAGAAAGGAACAATTATATCAATGGAAAATCACACACATGGGAGGGGCTAGTCATAGCAACGGTTAAATGGGAGGGACAAAGAATAAATAGGAGGAGCCCCGACATGTCAATTATAAATTGGGTTAGATTTCAACTAGACAATGTCTAAATGGGAGGGTCTAGTCATAGCAACGGTTAAATGGGAGGATAATATCATAGCAACGGTTAAATGGGAGGAAAATATCATAGCAACGGTTAAATGGGAGGGGCAAAGAAAAAATAGGAGGAGTCCCGACTTGTCAACCATAAATTGGGTTAGATTTCAACTAGACAATGTCTAAATGGGAGGGGCTAGTCATAGCAACGGTTAAATGGGAGGATAATATCATAGCAACGGTTAAATGGGAGGACAATATCATAGCAACGGTTAAATGGGAGAGGCAAAGAAAAAATAGGAGGAGTCCCGACATGTCAACCATAAATTGGGTTAGATTTCAAATAGACAATGTATAAATGGGAGGGGCTAGTAATAGCAACGGTTAAATGGGAGGGATAAAGAATAAATAGGAGGAGACCCGACATGTCAATCATAAATTGGGTTAGATTTCAACTAGACAATGGCTAAATGGGAGGGGCTATCATAGCAACGGTTAAATAGGAGGGACAAAGAATAAATAGGAGGAGTCCCCACATGTCAATCATAAATTGGGTTAGATTTCAACTAGACAATGGCTAAATGGGAAGGGCTAGTCATAGCAACGGTTAAATGGGAGGGGCAAAGAATAAATAGGAGGAGTCCTGACATGTCAATCATAAATTGGGTTAGATTTCAACTAGACAATGGCTAAATGGGAGGGGCTAGTCATAGCAACGGTTAAATGGGAAGGGCAAAGTTTAAATGGGAAGAGTCCCGACATGTCAATCATAAAATGGGTGGGATTTCAACGATACAATGCATAAATGGGAGGGGCTAGTCATAGCAACGGTTAAATGGGAAGGGCAAAGTTTAAATGGGAGGAGTCCCGACATGTCAATCATAAAATGGGTGGCATTTCAACTAGACAATGTCTAAATGGGAGGAGCTTCACTATGATGATGTGATTAAATGAAAAATATTTAATAAATCAATAATAATTAAATGGGTGGAAAATAAATATGTTATATAATATTGGGACCAGCTATGACAATCAATGAATAAATGGACAGTATCCATGGAATAAACGCCATTACGATTATCAAAGGGACAAAACCAACTCAATTAAGAAATTAAAGGCAAAATAATAATCACATAATGATAAAATAGTACTAAAGTGAAATTGTACTGAGATAAGGTGGATATATTAAGAAAAAGGCATCTCTTCTGATCGTGCAACTAAAAGTTACTGATGGCTATCGCCATCTATCGGAATAAATATCAACTAATCGTTGATTTTTTAAATTATTCAACAATTAGCCAAATAACATTTCTTGATTAATAAAGTTAACAACATAAGCATTTCAGACTGTTAGCTCTCATCAGCGTGGTGCAAACTATACCTCAACCACCACCACCAAAAAAAAAAAAGTTGGTTTTTGAGGCTTTCTAAAAATTCAAGGAATGGGCTTAAAAGGCCGTAAAGGCGTGAGAACGCCAAACTATCTGTGTATATTGCTTTATTTTATATTATCTCAAGCTTTCGGCCATTGAAAACCTTTCTGTTGTTGTTTTTCTTATTCCCATGTGTAAATATTACACATATTCCATGAGTCCATGCTCCTCGAGCTGTTTATAGACAGTGTTGTTGTTTCTCATCCCCTTGTTTAAAGATTACCCAAATTCCATGCTCCTCGAGCTGTTTTATGATTAGCATTGGCCTCTCCTAACGGTCTTGTTTATACAAACCTTTTTAAAGGAGTCATATGACAAAGAAATTCGTCAATCATATATATACTTCTGTATCAATCAAGATAATTGCGATAAGTACAAAAGTGAAAAAAAAAAAAAGCACAAGTGGGAAATTGTACTGGAATAAAAGGTGGGTAAATTAAGAAAAAGGCATTTCCTTAGCGTGTAACTGAAAGTTGCTAATGGCTTACGCCATCTATCGGAATAAATATCAATTTTTCTTTGATTTTTAATTATTCCAGAATTGGCCAAATACCCATTCTTGATTAATCAAGAAAAGCTAACCACGTACGCGTTTTGGACTGTTGGCCCTCATCAGCGTGGTGAAAGCTGTACCTCAATGACCAAAAACTGTTCATCCAGGCATCCTGAAAAATCATGAAACGGATAGTTAAGACCAGAAGTGCGTGAAAACGCGATGTGAAAAATAGTACAGATGTAAAATTGTACTGGGATATAGTGGATAAATTAAGAAAAAGGTATTCCTGATCGTTCAACGGAAAGTACAAAAGTGTCAAACAAATAATACCTATACACTTTGGTAGCTCACAACAGTGTATTATCAACAATAACAAAGACCCCAACACAAACAATGAAGATATAGAAGGGGCATAGACCTCTCTCTCCAGAAAGCCAAATTTATCTTCGTTTTTTTTACTGCTAATTGCGGCGTCTGCTTGCTCTAAAAACATTCCCCGCTCCAGGTTCTTTGAATCTGCTTACTGGAGTACAAATCTGAGGTGTTGCCAGACACGTTTGACATGGGTGGTGTTGAAATACTTCTAAGACATGATCTACCTTTGTTATCTACACATTTGTAGACATCGAGGGTTGATAATCTACATTTGTAGACTATTTGACATTTAAATATACAAGATATGATAAAAAAAAAAGGTTCGGGAAATTTGTAAAAAAAATAAATTCTGAAAGAGTTTTCGAAAAATAAAATTATCATCATAATCACGAGACCTCGTTATATATATTCTAGAAAATATTTATATCTTTTCAATATCTCAAATAATAAGAATTTTATAAGATTTTTTAAAGAAAAGAAACAACGGCGTTTTTTTTTTACAATAGATCTGGAAAGTGAACAAAAGGTATGCATAAAGTTTTGTCAAAAATTAGGAAAAACGGAGTCAGAAACGTTTCGAATGTTAAAATTGGCGTTCGGGGAGGCAGCCTTACCACAATCAAAAATGTTTAAGTGGTTTGCCCGTTTCAAATATATCAATATTAACCTTTTTTGTATATATTCATCTAATAAATATTTTATGATCCAATTTCCCGAATTTTATAATCATACCTTGTATTGTCAGTGAATAATTTATTAAATCATAATTTATCATTGATTAAACAAAAAAATCTGTATGTGACTCGAATTGACCCCACTACTGTTTTATGTACCTTGTTTATACTAATGATTGTGATTGATTTCAGCTGTCCACAGCCTTCCAACTACAGAGATTCCAGACGGCTACATTTGATAGACTGTCCTCATTCAACGATACTGTTTTATTGAATCTACCAAGACATGCCTGGAAACACTTGGTGAACTAGTTCACTAAGGCTACCAAGACAGACTCCACAGGACAACCCGGATAGTTCACGATCTATGGATACGTTCCAGGATCATGGGTTTACCTATGTGTTACTATTATTACTTGTAAATTATTTTTTTATCTTTTTTTATCCTTAGTACATGTGGTACAGGCCATGATAATCATGGTGGGTATGAAGTTGGCGACTGCTTTTACTGTAAGTGCACCACATGTCTATATATATACACGTGAAAAGCAGTTCGACTTTGCACTTACAAATGTGTCAGAACCCTGTTTGGTTACTTGCACTCACTGGTGGGGTTGGAATTTAGCAAGAATCGAGGGCTATTGAAGCCTTTTTACTTAGAAAAAAGTGCCCAATGCGAGGAATTCGATCCCGGGTTGTAGAGGTTGAAAACCAATGGTTTAGACGAGGGTTCGGCAAACTTTTGAGTCGGAAGAGTCAAAAATTACAATTTACAAAATTTATAAGTTTTTTAAAGAGCTACAAAATGTTTTCTTGCCAACAATAGACAGTACTCACATAAATAATATTTACTTATGGAACTATATAAAGAGCTTCATCTCCAAAGAACCGCATGTGGCTCGCGAGCCGCAGTTTGCCGACCTCTGTTATAGACCATCCTTCCACCAACCCCCAATTTTTTTTATCTGATCCAAACAACCACTGTTATTTATAAATAAACACATTTTTTAAATCTTAATTGAACTACTCCTGGTCATCACTACCATGACAATATGTAAATAAATAAAACCATTAGAAGTACGAATAATTTTTCCAATTAAAACAAAGAGATTCCAGACGGCTACACTTCTTAGACTGTCCTCATTCAATAACACTGCCTTATTGAATCTACCAAGACATGCCTAGAAACACATGGTGAACTGTTTTACTAACACTACCAAGACAGACTCTACAGGACAGCCCGGGGATGCACAAGGGGATAAGAAACAACAGCACTGTCTATAAACAGCTCGAGGAGCATAGACTCATGGAATTTGTGTAATCTTTGTACAAGGGGATAAGAAACAACAACACTGTCTATAAACAGCTCGAGGAGCATAGACTCATGGAATTTGTGTAATCTTTGTACAAGGGGATAAGAAACAATAACGCTGTCTATAAACAGCTCGAGGCGCATGGACTCATGGAATTTGTGTAATCTTTGTACAAGGGGATAAGAAATAACAACGCTGTCTATAAACAGCTCGAGGAGCATGGACTCATGGAATTTGTGTAATCTTTACACAAGGGGATAAGAAACAATAACGCTGTCTATAAACAGCTCGAGGAGCATGGACTCATGGAATTTGTGTAATCTTTGTACAAGGGGATAAGAAACAAT